GTTCTGTGTGTGCACTTAGAATAATAATCTCAAGTTGAGATTTATAATGTCGTAATATTCTGAAAAGTCATGCAAGTTTCAGAGAAATTAAGCAGTAAATTTGCATAATAAAGCAAGAACTATGCATACATAAATTCTAGTTTTTACTGTTGGGAAAATCAAAGCATTATCAAAGCACCCTATCACAGTTCCATCACAATACTACTTGCAGAGCAGTTTCCAAAGTATCTCATTTTTTTTAAAGTACATACGATTCACTGAAAATTGTATTGTTTACAAGATAAGCTCTCAGATGCTTCGCCACTTCGTAAAATTTTTAAAGACTTTAATTTTATTTCTGTTATTGTTTTTTCATTATCTGACAGCTGCATACTTTTTAGCCTAACATTTATTTACTGTATAAATTTATTAATCAATTTCTTAGATAGTTAAGTTTTCACTATTCTATTGTGATTTATCATAGCATTCAAATGCTCATACCAAAATACAGTAGCATTTTCAAAACCACTGAGATTACACTTATATATGAATTTAATAATTTAAAGCCACCTATATTTTTGCCTTTTTTAATCATTATTTAGAGAAATATCAGCACACTCTGGTTTGGAGCAGATACTAATTATGATTTTTCCTTGTAATAATCGTGCTATTGTTTTCGTATTATGTTACTATTTCTCTGTCATATATTTGACGCATATTTCATGCGGAACTTTTAGTTCTTTTGCAAATATTGTTGTGATTGTCCTAATAAACACATTATATGTTAACGTATGTAAATTTGTTGCTAACTGTGTATATATACCATCAACTGGAAACTTTACTTAAAACTTGTAGTTTAGTGGTATCGCGATAGAATAGCAGATCAAACTATTAATAATTATTGTGTAACTAGTAAGGATAAGTAGTAACAAGATTAAGCATTTTTTTTTATATTTTTTATTCATCTAGGATATTTTAATTTCTAATATTAGAGATTATTTTTTATATACAACAACCTTATTTTGGCACTGATTTTAAACAGATACTGGTCCCTTAGCATAATTTTTTTCGTCTTGAAGAAAGGGACCTGTGTCCAGTTGCTCTAAAACACTGACGTTTTTAAAATCTATACTGAATAAAGTTGCCTAATTTTAAGTTATACATTGGCATATTTTCTTCCTATTTCCAGTTACTAATACTAGTGTTTCCAGCTAAATAGACTAAAACAGATACCCCAAGTTGTATAATAATGCAAGAAATTTATTCTTAGAGACAATTATCATCAGACATTATCCATAACATGAATGTATCTGGCTTATGTCTAATGTAAAAAAAAATTGTAACATATTTTCTAATAATTAATACAATGTGTACAGCTCATTAAAATTTTAAGACATTGATTAAATTTCTTTATTTCATTTAAGTAGTTTTAAAATCTATACTATTAAAATCTGTGTGCCTCTGTCTGTTTGTGTGTTTGTAACATCATCTTCTCAAGAACGGCTGGGTGTAGAGCTTAGCGGAAGGTACCGTTGGATTCAGAATTCCCGTGGCTCGCCATATTGACCATCGGCATCTTCGTGCGACTTTAATTAGCCGAGATATTAATTAAAAACTGCTTTTTCTCCTACGTTTCCCTACGTTTTTGCACTTTCTTTCACCCGTTTTCCCCTGTTTTAGGGATTTGGCCGAGTGCCAAATTCGTTTTTCTCGAATAACTTGGGAACGGCGCCCGAGTTGGAATTCGAAACGCATATCTCCGGATTCGAAAAAAAATCAACAAATCCATCGATACCGGTCCCATCTTCGTACGACAATAATCCGGCGGAGTTATTAATTAAAAACTGCGAAAACAATTTCGGCACTCAGTCTTCCGAGTGGCAACAGTCTCGGCAGTCGTCGGAGATAAAAATGCTATGGGAACGCCAAGGCCGTTCGCCACTAACAAACTAAGAATAAAAATTAAAATAACTTAAAGGAATAAACTGAAAAGCTAAAATAAAACTAAAAATAGAAACATTCTCTTCATTTAGTTGTCGTTAGTTGAATGTAGATTGGTTTATGCCCTTGATAAGTCGAGTAAATGACGTCATAGATAAAATAAAAAGTTTTTGTTTCCCGGTCTGGCAACAGATCAAATAGAATCAAAAGTTTAGTTTCCTGGTTTGGCAACAAAAATTTATTTACGAATTTTGGATTTGGAAGGAGACCGTCGCAATTTTTTCCAGCATTTCAAATTTCGTAAATATTCTTATTATTACTCATTGCACTTAATCTTTATTTCTTTTTACAGGATATTTGATTGTTTTTTTGCATTTATATTTGTAGTTTTAGTAATTTAAAGTAGTATTTTAGACTTTTATATGCTCCTGTTAGTTTAGAACTTGAGAATTCTTCGGAACATTAACTTGGTGACTCTTTTTATATATTTAATGTATTATTTTGTATTTTTTTAAAGATCTATTCATTCGTGTTTTATATTTCTGTTATGTGTTGCTCGATAAATTGCATTTACATTTTATATTTTTGACATTTTCCTGTGTGCGATAACAATTATCGTTTTAAGGCGATCGAATGTTCTATATTTTATTAGATTTGTTATTTTGTTAGGTTTGTTATTTGAATTTCAGAATTGATTTCAGAAGTTCCTAATTTATATTTGTATTTATACCTTTTATTTATTTTGTGTTTAGGTTTTCATTTTCTGTTTATGTGCATTGTTCTCAGATTGACCTAATTATTAGAAATATTTTCATAATTTTTATCTGTGCTTGGAATTTTTCATAATATTACCCATATTATTTCTTATTTGCCAGCAATTTTTTAACAGGGAAGTTTTTGTTTTACATTTTTGATTTTTTAAAATTAATTTGCTCTTAAGTGGAAAATTTTTCATTTAGTCTAGGATTATTTTAAAATTTGTGTTGTATACATATAGAATGCATTAATTTTTTTTTCCAGCAGTATTGGTTTAATGAGCAATTTTTTTTCTTTCATCTGCGTAGTCAAATTTTTGAGTCGAGTTAATATTTTAGTAGTGCTTTTTTTAACGTACTGAAATGCCGAAACGGAAAAGAGGCATTACAGGAGATGCATCAAGAAGACGAAGAGCTGAAGCACAGAGTTTACGGCGAGCTGCAGAAAATGAAGAAGAAACTGCTGCGAGACTGAGCACGCAAGCGCGTCGGCAAGCAAACCTACGCGCTCAAGAAACGGAAGAAGAAGAAACCGCTACGAGACTCGGCAGGAAAGCTCAACATCAAGAAAATTTACGTGCTGCAGAAACGGAACAAGAAACCATTAGGAGACTCAGCAGGCAATCCCAATGTCAAGAAAATTTGCGTGCCTCAAGAAAGTGAAGAAGAAACCAGTAGGAGGCACAGACTGGACTCTCATCGTCATCGTCAAGTTCGAGCGGAAGAGTCGGAAGAGGACGCTGCTACACGAAGAACGCGAGACGCTGCACGCCACAGACAAGTCCTATCCGAAGAAACAATGTCCGTACGAGAAGACAGGCTACGCATGAATGCAGCACAACGTTCACGCAGCACTCTTCACAATGCAGGAAGATGTGGACTCGAAGTTTATGTTGAGCAACACAGCGCCGGTTCAATGGAAGCTTCCTGCGATCTCTGCAACGGATTGTTCTTTACGGGAGAAAGGAATGCAAGAGGAAGATACATGCACTGCTGTAACAATGGGAAAATTGTCGAAGCTGAAAGAAGATATCCAGAAGAATGGCACAATTTAATGAATGGGAACCACCCCGTTTTCTGAAGAGTTTTTTGCCAACATACGTACTTACAACTGCCTGCTCAGTTTTGCTTCATTGGGTGCCAATATAGAAATGCCTTCGGGTTCGGGTCCCTACTGCTTCAGGATTCACGGTGCCATATATCATCGAACGAGCCACCTTCATCCGCCTCATCCCGGTCAAGAACAGTATGCTCAGCTGTACATTTTAGATTCGGATCAAGCCCTCAGGCAGAGAATGAACATATTTGGAAATGTTGCCCTGAACGCCGAACTCCTGAGACAGTTGGACACAGTTTTAAGGAACGTTAATCCATATGCGGAAGCCTACAAGATGCTGAAGGAATTCGAAGAAGAAACTGTACGAGAGCAAGGTGCCGAAACTGCTGCGGATATCCGCATGTACATCAAGGGTGAAAGTGTTGCTGCAGGCGAGCACAGGGGACGTTACAATGCTCCGAAAGAAAATGAAGTTGCAGTCGTCTTCAAGAGTACGGACGGCGCTCCTCCATCGAACCGAGACATCGTGATCCATCCGAGAGGTGGCGGTCTCATCAACATCAGTACCTTAAATCCCAACTTGGAACCCATGACGTACGTACTTTTCTTTCCTCACGGCGAGCAAGGATTCAGAGTCGGACAGCAATACACAGAGTTACAGTTTTACAGTCACAGGGTGTCCGTACGACGAGATTGCTACAACCCGATTTTGTATGGCCGGAAATTGTTTCAGCAGTATCTCGTGGATGCATACGTAAAAGTTGAAGGCAACAGGATTGCGTACCTCCGGAGCCATCAGACGAATCTGAGAGTGGAAACTTACATGGGTCTTGCCGATCACATTTACAGAGTTGGTCAAGAGACGGGCGTCCGCCCTGGAATACCGGTTATACTTCCGTCAACGTTTATAGGAAGCCCTCGCTGCATGCAGCAAAACTATCAGGACTCGATGGCCATTGTGCGCGACTTTGGTAAACCGGATCTGTTTTTGACTTTCACGTGCAACCCTAAATGGCCGGAAATAACAGAAAACTTATTCCCAGGACAGCAGGCTCACGATCGCCCGGACATCGTTTCGAGGGTATTTGACCTGAAAAAAAACAGCTTTGATGCATGATTTGACAAAGAATCACATCTTAGGTGCGACCATTGCAGATATACACGTCATCGAATTTCAGAAGAGAGGATTGCCTCATATGCACCTTTTGTTGTTTTTAGCGGAAGAAGACAAAATAAGAGATGCAGAGTGCATCGACTCGCTGGTGTGTGCTGAACTTCCAGATGCTACTCGACATCCGGAGCTACACAACATTGTGAAGTCATCGATGATTCACGGACCCTGCGGTGAACTGAATAGAAACTCTCCCTGCATGAGTGATGGTGTATGTTCGAAAGGATTTCCGAAACCGTTTCAGGCAGAAACTAAAGAGAACGTGAATGGCTACCCACTCTACAGAAGAAGGGACGATGGAAACTTTATCGTGATCAAGGGTCATGCCATCGATAACAGATGGGTCGTTCCTTACAATCCGTATTTATCGAAAAAGTACAACGCCCACATAAACGTTGAAGTATGCAGCTCCATAAAATCGGTGAAGTATTTGTTCAAATACGTGTACAAGGGTCATGATGCAGCTAAAGTTGTTCTGGAAGAATCTGGAGATAGAACTTTAATGTGGGACGAGATCAAATGCTTCTTAAATGCAAGATACGTGTCTGCCCCTGAAGCAGCGTGGAGGCTGTTTGAAAAAAGAATGCATTCTAAGTCGCACTCCATCATACGACTACCGGTTCATTTGGAAAACCTGCAGCCCGTCTATTTTGCCGAATCCGAAGAAAGGAATGCTTTCCAGAGAGCTGCCGAGAAAAATACCATGCTCACCGGATGGTTTGAACTGAACAGGACAGTTCCCGAAGCGAATGGTTACCTGTATGCCGAAATTCCTAAACATTTCACCTGGAGGAATCATGCCTGGCAGACACGAGTTAGACTTGGAGATTACATCATTTCAAGAATGTATTCTGTTAGCCCGAAAGATGTTGAGCGTTTCCATCTGAGGTTGCTGCTGTGTCACGTTAAAGGAGCGAAGAGTTTTGCCGACTTAAGAACTTACGAAGGTGTGGAGTATTCAACGTTCAAGGAAGCCTGCCGTGCAAGGCATCTGCTGCAAGACGACGAAGAATGGAAAAATACTCTGGCAGAAGCATCAGCTTTTCAAATGCCACCGCAGCTAAGACAGCTTTTTTGCTTCATCTGTGTTTTCTGCAACCCTGCGGAACCCGTCGCTTTGTGGAATGAATTCAAAGAGTCCCTTTCTGAAGATTTTGCGAGATCTTACTCCTTAGAAGACAGTTTCAGCCTTGCACTGAGAAGTATAGAAGACCAGTTAGAAGTGCACAATGTTTCGCTATGTTCTCTTGGTCTCCCGCAACCAACATTGACTGATGCTGTTTCTCTCGAAGTCCCGCAGTTCGATGTCCAGTATGAAAACGAACAAGCCGAAGTGTTGAACGGGATGTTGAATCCTGAACAGAAATTAGTTTACGACTCGGTTTTGGAAGCTGTACGAGATGAGAATCCTAACACACCGAAGACATTTTGTGTTAATGCGTTTGCCGGAGCTGGAAAAACTTTCCTTTTTAGGACGATCCTTCATGCTGTTCGAGGAATGGGCCACGTTGCCATTCCCGTTGCGTGGACAGGCATTGCTGCTGTGCTGTTGACCGGTGGAAGAACTGTACACTCTACTTTCAAGTTGCCCGTTCCACTTCTGGAAAATTCTTCGTGCCGTGTGAGACAAGATAGCGCTGAAGGAAGGTACTTGAAGACTGCGAAACTTTTCATATGGGATGAATGCACCATGACGCCTCATTACGCTTTGGAAGCTGTCGACAGATTGCTGAGAGACTTGACCGGACTGGATGTTCCTTTTGGCGGTAAAACCTTAGTTTTAGGAGGTGACTGGAGACAAACATTACCTGTTGTCGCACATGGAAACCGAACTTCTGCGATCGAGAGCTGCCTCAGGAACTCCTTTTTGTGGCCACATTTCAAACAATGCACGCTTTCCACCAATATGCGATTGAATCCGGAAGAACAAGAATTTTCAGAATGGCTTCTGCAGTTGGGAGACGGTCGTCTTAAAAATGACAGTGGCTTGGACGAAGACATTATCGAAATTCCATCTTTGTGTGTGGTCAACAGATCGATAGTAGAAGAAATGTTTGGCTGCGGTAATGAATTCGACTTACAAGACTTGGCCAGTAAAGCGATTTTATGTCCAAAGAACGAGGAAGCTCTGAAGCTTAATGAAGAAATTCTTTCCACGTTTCCAGGTCAAGTTTTCACGCACTACAGTGCAGACTCGGTTATTTGCGATGACGAAGAAGAACAAGAAACGTATCAGCTGGATTTCATCCACAGCCTGACGCCTTCTGGAATGCCACCTCATCGTCTGAATTTGAAAGTTGGAGTTATAGTTATGCTTCTACGAAATCTACATCCATCGGTTGGACTCTGCAACGGAACAAGGCTCATTGTGAAGAGAATTATGCCAAACGTTTTAGATTGTGAAGTCATCTCTGGACAGAATGCTGGATCGAGAGTTTTCATTCCACGTGTTGAACTTTCACCATCAGATTCAAACCTCCCCTTTCAGCTCAAGCGAAGACAGTTTCCCATCAGGCTTGCATTTTGTATGACTATTAATAAGTCACAGGGACAGACACTTAAGAAAGTTGGGATTTATTTACCGCAACCAGTTTTCAGTCATGGAATGCTTTACGTAGCTTTTTCAAGATGTTCGTCTATGAGGAATGTTCGTGTTTTCGTGTTTTAGTGAAAGACACCAAGAAGCAAGGCCGTTTGATGCCCGCATGTTCTAAAGTATTCACAAGAAATATTGTTTACAGGGAGGTTCTGCAGTAAAAAAGTTACTCGAGACATTGAAACAGTGAGATTTTTTGCAACACAAAATGAAGTTAATCAAGCCAAAGCAAAAATGAAAAAGATTTGAGGTTTTTGGATGACTGGGATAAATTGAAGCAAGTCAAGATGAAGCTGAAACAGTTTGAGAATTATGCATTAGTCGGCTTTTATGTCTGTTGTTACAAAGTGGAATTTGTAGTAGTTAGGCAATCGGAAGCTGTATTATTTTTTCAATGTTGTAAATATTTTTTATAAATTTTCCTTTTCAGGTCTACATACAATTGCGTTCATTAATTTTAAAACATTTTATGTATTTTTCTTTTTTAGGTATTTATGGAACTGATTTCAATCACATAAAAATATTTCTTTTTCAGGTGTATATAGAAATGATTTGATTTAAATTAAAATGTTTTTAATAATTTCTTTTCAGATGTACATAGAACTTGTAAATACTTTTTTTCAGGTGTATATAGAAATGATTTCATTCAAATTAAAATGTTTTTCTTTTCAGGTGTACATAGAAGATGTAAATTTTTGTAAATAATTTTTCTTATTCATTGCTTGCATTTTTGTAAACACATACAAATATATATATATCTTAATTGTGCGTGTGTGTATATATGTATATACAATTGCATCAATATATATATATATATATATTATATACATATTTATATATAGTGATGCAATTTTGTCTATGATTCTGTAACAGCAGACCAGGGAAGGGGCTGATACCTGGGAGAAAAAATAACCCCCTGGTCGATGAGGTTGCAGAGGAGACCCCAGGTGTCAGGCAGTTTATGCCGTCAAAAGCCCACCAATTTTTTTCTGTTTACATTTTTTTTTTTTCTGTTCAAGTTTTTGTGTTTAATATAAACTTATAACTAAGAAATTATTATTATTATTATTATTTCTTTTCAGATAAATACGGATTGTAGCTCGCCCATCTGGCGTACTTACTCGGTAGATTTTAAAAATTATTTTCTGTTTTTCTTTGAACTATTGACGCAATAACTGATTTCATTCATATAAAATATTTTGTTTTGCATGATATTTAATATACTCAAGGGATAGGCCTGTAATGTCTTTCCCAAAGTTGTGTCTTTTATAGACATAGGTACAGTAAAATATTTTACGGGTTCACACGACTGACATTTTATGAAACGTTTGGAAAAAGTTTCTGTGTGCTGCCCTACTGTGTTATCCAAAGAACAACAGTTGCAGTAGTTGATGATAATGTGTGTACAGCCCCAAATAATTGGAGACAAGGATATTTTGGAGTTTGTTCAAAGCTAAAAAAATATCATTGATGCAGATTCCGACAAAGAAAAGAAACGAAATGAATAATGCAGTTCTTGTGGATGATTTTGTTTCATTGATTTTTTTATTAAATACATGCCTATATGCATATCTGTGCAAATAAAATGTACTCTAATAAACTTAATTTTGTTGAAAATATGTTTTTTTTTTTTTTTTTTTTTTTTTTTCAATATCCTTTAACACGAAAAAATTCTTCAGTCCCTTCGGTTTCGTGTTAATAATAATGAAAGTGAGAAAAACAATTTTAATCATAGATTTAAAATTATTTTTCTGTTTTTGATTTAAATACAAAAATATTTCCACAAATTTCACACAGAAACTATTTTAGACACCAGCAAAGAATTGAGTGGGTGCAGCCCACCCATCTGCAATACTTACTCGGTAGATTTTAAAAATTATTTTCTGTTATTTATTTATTTTGAATGCGATAAAAACAGGCGACTAACTAATTTGGTTTATATGTATGTACATATATATTTTCAAATGTATACAGGGGATATTGGACACATACAACACTATTGACACAATATGAGCTATATCCACACAATGATGGAACAAGGTGTGCAGCAGATGCAAGACATGGGCATGATTCACATGATATTTGATATACTCGAGGGATAGGACTGTAATGAGCAAATGAGTTTGTTCCACAAAGTTGCGTCTTTTACAAACACCCAACATTCGAATCCCAGTGAATGGGGTGGCTGCATGGGTGTTTTTTTGTTATTTTCCCCATGCCACTTTCCTTTAAAAAGCCGACAAGAAGGCATCCCTCCCCTTAGGCAGATTGCACTCGAGTGCTTTGCCGTAGCTGAATACGCTACACCACTACATTACACACGGAAGTAAAAATGACACTTCCTGTGGTCGTTGCCTAATTATTCAAAATATTTTGATAATTGTTATCTGTTCTTAGAATTTCCATAGCATTGCACATATTATTATTTAACATTCGTTATTTACCAGCAATTTTATAATCTGCAAGTTTTGGTTTTACAATTTTTGATTTTTTAAAATTAACACCTTCTTACACAATTTGCAAACGAGTTCAATAGCCAAACATTCCCTTTCATATTACATCTGAAGAACTGTTGTAGCATTATGCAACAAACATTTCGCTGTTCATTAAAATATAGGAACACTTTTCAATCAAATTTTGATTAGAATTTGATGTAGATTGAAAAGTTGTTTTCACAACTCAGCTGCCTTTACACTCGCAGTTGTATTCACAATTGATTTTCACGCTGGACTTTTATCATTTGTCATATCCGCTAAATTTTAAGTGTCAGCAATTTTTTCTGCGGTAACAGCATCTACAAATGACCATCTGCCATGAATATTCTTCACACATGCACGAGTTTTATTTTAGAACCGCTGATGCTTTGGGTTTATGATTACTACTTGCTAATAGTATGCATTATGATAGCATAAGTAAAAAAAAAAAATTTACCAGTATAATCAAAATAGAACAAATTCACGACTAAAATATTATCAAGAGTCTTAGAAGACCCTTCGAAGAACATTTTTAGAAGGTAAACAAAGATAACTGACGAAAACTGATCAGCTCGAAAACCCACACTTGAAAAATGTAAACAAACGCCGCCGAAAGCAGTTACAGTTACGACTAAGATCAAAGGTTTGCTCGCAGTTAAAAGTATTACTTCCGAGCATGAAAAAATTGTAACATAATGCTTTTAAATGTTTTCTACTATTTTAAAGGCATTTAAATGCCAGTATATATTTACTGTTATGAAACATAATTACAAAAGAGATGTTAAGTATAAAATATATAGACAGCAGCAGTTGGAGTTTACCAAAAAGAATTTAAATAAAGGAATTTTAAACAACGAGTATACTGTTGGAATATCACACCCGAAAATTTTCGCGATTACACTTCGTACAAGCAGCTGAGCGGTAAAAATCGCTGAACACTGGTAGTTCGGTCCAACTTTCTAATCCCGGCGAGCGGGCTGGCTGCATGTGTGTTTTTGTGGTTTTCCGCATGCAGTATCTTCTGCATGCATACGTTAACAAAGCGGGCGCAGCAAATGTAAAATCGCTGTACACTGGTAGTTAGGTCCAACTTTCGAATACCACGAAGGCATCCATCCCCTGAAGTAATGGGCTTCAGCCCGCTCAGCTGGCGGGCTTGCCCGCTAGTAACATATAATAAATTTTAAGCCTCATTGACATATAATAAAATATGCGTCTATCATTATGATGCTAAATTTACAATTAAAGGTTGCCAGTTCTTTAATAAAGATGTTATCAATTTGTGATATCTTAAACATACATATGCATTAAGAAATCCATTTGTGTAATATAAGAACAGTCTAATTCTTTTTTTTTTTTTTTTAAATGAAACACCGAATTACATTCATGAATAATTTTAATTATGTAGCAGTACTGTATATGTTTTTATTATTTACAAAATGTTTACTTCATATTTCAAGTAGCTGAAAGGAGAAAGAGAAATATTACTTTGAAATATTTTTACTGAAGAATAATGGTGATTTATCAGGCTAAAAGCAAGATGCTAAGGAAATTATTCTGTTATTAGTTATATTCACAAAAACAGATGTATCAGAAAAAAGCAAGATGCTAAGGAAATTATTCAGCCATCAATTATATTCACAAAAATAGATGTATTTTATTCTCCAGCTTGATAAATGAATTTGCAAAAATGGTAATTTGTACTCTTTTTTGGGCTATTTAAAGTAAAAATTTTTAATGCAGAAAATGTAAATTTCTAATATTTTATGTTCATATGTATTAAATGTCATTTCTGTACATACATTCAAATACTGCTATCTCCTTGACATTCCATTGTGAACTTTCCTAAAAAGTTATGTACCACAATAGACTAAAAAATTTATTTTGTGATTACAAATATTAAAAAATTAATAAAATAGTAGCATATGATATTAAAATATTTAATGTTTGAAACTAACGGCTTGCTATTGTGAAAATTTTTTCAAGATCGTGAACACAGGATATTTCAGCTAAATTTATCTATTCTCAAAATTCAATATATTAAAAATAAATAGATTACAAAAAGTTAGTCTCAAAAATAAATACTTTACATTAATTTGTAATAATGTGTAAGGAACCAATACCTAAATCACCAATTCAAAAACATTTTCTCAAAAAATACTAAAAAATACTATACTATACAAAAAATACTAAGTAAAAATACTATACTTTTTGGTGGGCTAAAACCCGCCAAAAAATACCACAGCACAGTTTAGAAAACAAGCAGCCAAAAATAGCAAACAATCCTTTGGGGTAAAGCTAAAACACGCAACCTTTGATGTCACATGTGACGTATATTTTCGACCAATCACATTTTCCTGCCGAGTTGAAATTTAGTCGTTCCCCGAAAAGTTTAAGTCTGGCAGTGGTAGGGGTTGTTTCGGCCTTTTTCTGAATGATTAGAAGCTGAAAATTCTTTACACCGTGCACCGTCTGTGGAGTAATGCGCTGCAATTTATTTACAGCATTTTCTACGTTAAGTGACTCTACGGCTAGGGCCGTATCATCAGCATAGCAACCTACGAAGCAATTTAAATCATTGAAAATACACGGAAAATCTACCACATAGAAAATATACAAGATTGGGCCCTAAATGGACCCCTGAGCTACTCCTGCATTTAGAATTTTCTGAACAGAATTATCTTTCCCTATATTTACAAAGAACTTCCGATTTTTGATAAAAGAATAAATGAGTAGTACTAGATCCCTGTTAAAATCTAAGCAGATTAATTTGAATATCAGCCTCTCATGCCAGACGCGGTTGAAGGCTTTCACCACGTCTAGAGTGAGTAAGGCTACCTTCCGATGATTGTGAAATGCTGATGCAATAAATTCATTAAGGCAGACAAGCTGCTTTGTCATGGAGAGTGATTTTCTAAACCCGAACTGTTCGGGTGGTAATTTGGCTAGATAAGGATCCATTTTTCTTAAAATAATTCTTCTGTAGATTTTGCCTAAACCAGGCAAAAGACTAATAGGGCGAAAACCCTCAGGTTTTTTTATATCTTTACCTGGCTTAGGTAGGAGAATGACTTTAGCGACTTTCCAGCTCTTGGGAAAATAGTTATTCACAATGCAGGCATTTACGATACTTGTGTATTTTGCGACAGTATTTAAGGGCAGGTTTTTGATGGCAATATTCGTTATTTCGTAGTAACCTGGTGCTTTCCTTTTCTTTAATTTTCTAATAACATCTTTAACTTCATTTGGAGTACTCAGATCAGGTTTGCTTCTCAGACTTGGACTATTGACCCAGTCATGTATAAAATACCTTATGTTATAGGAAAATGTAAGGTCGCAAGGATCCATGTTTGGCATGAACTGCTTTTCCAGATGGTCTGCTAGTGACAACAACTGCATTAGCACCGTAAAGTGGCTTATTTACAGTGGGCCTATTCTTTAGGTTCCTAGCAACCAACTAAAATGCATTATTTGGCTCGTTGAAGCTGGCGATTTTATCATTCCATCTCTCGTTTCTATAGTTATAAATATTTTCTTGATTGTCTTATTAAGTTTATTTATCTCTCTTTTGATATTAGTGTCCCATGAGATGCACTATCTTTTCCTGAGCTTATTTCGCTCCTTAATCTGGTTGCAAATAAACCAAGGGAGCCTTTCAGCATTCTGATCAACAGGGAATTTTTTCGTAGCTCTATTATAAGCTGTGAGAATACTATTCGTAAGCGTCTCGATGGCTAAATCGATATCACTGATATTTCTCAAATTCTCAAAGTTTGGGGGGTTATTAAGAAGGTAATCATAATAAATCTTCCAATCCGTAAATTTTCTGTATTTGGTGTCATTGCACTGATTTGTTCCTAGTGTGGCAATAATAGGGACATGTAATCTAAATCTTTATCCAAACTGATAAAAGCATTAAAAAAAATGCTGTTAAAATCAAACTGCCAAAGCACGTGGTCACCTCATGGTATCATGATTAGGCTTACCAGGAAAAATCAAGGGCCGCCTACTTTTACTGGGCCAGGCAAGTGAAGTTGATATTCAGCAAACCACATTAAGGCCTTTTTACAACTCTTTGGTTACTTAAGACCGGTGAGCAACCTTTTATGTGCTAGCAACTAAATCAGAGAATAAAATTAAGTCGGCAAAACCGAGAGTCGTGTTGGAAGAAACTTCACATATGACTGCTCAGCACAGAGCGAGGGGAACTATGCACCTTCACACTCTGAGTCTAGGCTCCGAATTACCATGTTCCCTACAAGTGAACTGGCTTTTAGTATTGTATGGAAAATCAAAGTTTTTATTTACCATTTATGGCTATAAAATTCTTCATAGTATGTATTTGAAAAATACAAATAAATAAATACACAAAAATAAAATTTGAGTTAAGATGAATAACTTGTACACTCAAGATATGTCTTAACTTGAATTTATTTTTTTGTATATTTTGTTTTCAAATACACGGCATCCAAAACTATTTCCATTTGGAAAAGCTCAGCAAATGAAATCAACCTTTTCTGTGTGTCACTGAAATGTTATCAATGCAAACTGCAGCTAAGACTTGTGCCGTTGAAAGATATTATAATGCCTTCATGAGTAGATGCTTTGAAAG